AAAATCACATGAGATTGTATGAATGAGAATGTATTTCATATGATTGAGTGCAAATAAATAGGGAAATATTCATTGATGGGTGTAGAGTTAGAGGACTTTAAAGTGACAGGTTAAATCCCCCAACTTGGTTTATATTTTTAGGTTCTGATACGAGAATGTTAGCCCCTAGGTGGAGGGAATCGAGAGAACTCTAGAGTGAGAGCTAGTATCTTCCCTGTCTAGCCGGTCTTCAGAACTATTCAAACTTTAAATTAGCCAATGTTCTTTATAACATCTCTAGTAAGGGTAAAGAATATTATTGCTCTTATTTGACACAACACAATTTGCATACTTCTACAACAGAATTCTTATGTTTATTACTGATTCATGATAAGAAGAAAGATATTTTCATATTAAATATTTTTCTTCTACAAAAACTTTAGTTATCTTTTTACTGTTTCGTTAAAATATCAAAAATACAAAAAATATTTTAAATTTTAAATTCCTGTAAAAATCATTTTTAGTTTAAGTAATTATTTTTTTTAAATAGAAAAACTTTCTAAAAAGTGCATATTGCATAATCTTCCTTGTGGGTTCGATATTCAGGTCTTAATCAAAATGTCATATATTACTTGATAACGATATTTATGCTTGTGTAGTATCCCAATATAAATATATATAAATTAAAAAGTTAAATTTTTATTTTCCTTCAGAATCAAGTTTTTGTTTTTGTTGCAAAATAAAGAAATATAAGTGAAAAATATCATCAGAACTATTGTTATACTGTGCATAAGCTTTAATTATTCAGGGATCAAGTTTTTGGCGCTGTTGTCGGGGATTAAAATCTTCAAGAAGTGGTGTCAACTTCATAAATTCTTACATATACAAAAAATTAGGATCAAGGCCTAGCTCGCAATGGAACATAAGTTTCCTTGAAAAAATGGTTGCAATCATACTCAATAAAAATGCTTAACAATTCATTAGTTGTTGCTTTTAAATCTTTTGCTCCCTAGCAGGGGCGTTCTCCACATGAACTTACGTAATGAGTCTTGAAGTGATTAGTTTCTTGATCTTGTTGAATAGGAACTCTAGTTATGAGAGGGGTTGTTAAGGAAGTGTTATTTTAGATGAAATTTTCCCCCAGTCTAGGGGTGATTTCAAAGACTTTTTGTTTGAATGAAATGTAAGAGGACTACCCCACCACAGTCCTGTCGGGCGCGTTAACGTAAAAAAACTTTCGAAACTGCAGTGAAGGTTGCCCCCAGCCTCGAAGAATTTGTGAAGGAAATTGTGTTTGAATAGGATGAGAGAAGACAACCCTACTACAATCGTGTCCGGAACGTTGACATAAACTATCTTTCTACACTGCAGTGAAGGTTGCCCCCCACATCAAAGAGTGCACCAAAGATGTTCTTCAAGCTGCAAAGGAGGTTCTTTCGCTTGTTGGATATTGTACATCATTGGGAAATGAAGTAGGGGATCGGTGTCTCGGATTTGAAGACAGTGTCAAATGATGTTTTGTTTCTCATTTACAATGCCAAAATGATGCGTGCTAGAAAATTCACAGCAGTATAATAATGGATAGTCATCTTAGCGTTGCCCGAGAATTTAATACACACTCAGATAAAGGAAGAGAAGTAAGCACAAGGAGACACATTTACTTTTTTACGTGGAAAGACCTTGCGAAGGGGAAAAGTCACGGGGCCTAGCCCAGTTGAAATAATCCACTATAGATGATGAGCACACAAGTTTGTTTTTCTCCTTAATTAGGGAAGATAGAATTACAAAGTTATATATGCATAATATGACTGTAGTTCTTGTGGAGGTAGTAGTCCATCATGAGTATTTAGATGATTGTTCCAGGAGCGTTGATTGGAAAGAGAAGCCATAGTGGGAAGTTTCGGAATGTGTGAGTCATGTATGTCATAGTCGGTCACATAGACTATGGTAGTGAGTAGTAGTTACATTCATAGACTGCGAGGACCTGAATTGTTCATTGCACAAGCTATGGACCACATAGGTCATAATGGCGAGTAAAATTAGGGCGGTCAAAATAGCTCGTTGTTCGCGAACAACTCATGTTTGGCTCGTTAAGAAGCTCGTATTTGTCTCGTTCTCTAAGTTAACGAGCCGAGCATGAAAAAAGATTCGTTTGTTCGTGCTCGACTCATTTTGGCTCGAAATACTACTCATCAATTATATATATAT